GGAAGTACACTTGTGAAAGGTACGAATCCATTACTTCTCCCCACCCTTCAGACAGGGACCTATAGCCTTGGTTTGCATCCAGTCTACTGCAGAAAGAAACTGCAGTCTTTAATCAAATGATTCTTATATCTGTTTCATATTCAAGAAGAGGCACCATTTTCCTTCATCTGTGATAATACAATAAAAGAATCTTTCCTTATATGCACGTCTGGTGTCGAGCGAATAAACTGCGGTCAATGGAAGAGCGCTGGAGTTTGTCAATGCGTGTGGCACCCATACACTGTATATCTGTATCTTATCCACTGAGTCAAGATGACGAGCGACAGTAACATGAAAGCCTGCCATCTTCTAAGCCAATTCCCTAGATGTCTGGTGCAGTTTTTTAATCAACGTGTGCAATTGGTTCTCATCAACCTCAACAGGTCGACCAGAAGGCCTAGAGCCTGCGTATTCGCATTTCGCCTTTTTCAAACGGGAAATAGTTTTTGCCACGTCTCCTCACGGTACTAATATTTCGAGCAGCTTTGGTAGATTTCATTACCTTAATTAAAGATATCGAACATGCTCATTTTTGTCGAATTGGTATTCTATCTCTAAGGGGTTGTCCAATTTGAAATAAAATTTCAGTAAAAGTTAGACAAGATGTTTCACAGGATGACCAGAGTTACTAAGCGGCAAAAAATGGCACGGATGATGGTTCTTCGAGGTCATTCTAGAGAACATCAGGAAAATATATGTAACAAAATAGCAATGATTTTTTTTAATCGAGTTCACCCCAAAGTCAAACAGTAAAGACACTAAACAAAATTGGTTACTGGGTGAGGAAAAATCTGAAAGAGAAACATTACTAAAGAAGAGTAATTAAGAGGACAGTAGATAGCAATTGACATTGCATTTATATTTTTGAAGATTAAAGTTGTCTAGAAAGCATTGGACCGGAAGGGCGTTCCAAAAGAGAGAAGTGCCAGAAGAGACATTACCGCCAGTCTAGTTCCGTGCTAAAATTCAATATGCCTAGAAACCATAGTGAAGAGCTCACACAAAAAATTAATTACCATTAAATTATTTATAGAAAAGGCACAGGGAGGCAACCTTACTCCGGTGGCGAAGTGACTGAAACCAAGCTGCCAGATCAGTACCAATAATATTGCTCGTTTTTCTTTGGATTTTATCAAGGAGCTATAGATAGATAGCTTTTTAAAACCAGGAAATAATAGCAGACAAGTCTCGGAATTTAAATCTATTGTATATAACATGTCCCATGTGTGCTATACGTTTAAATCCTTCTAAGATTAAAATATCTTGGCATCAAACCGTGGGCACTATTTACATTATTCTGACTATTGTTCTCATCTTTGTAGCCATATTTATCACAACATTTCGGCCTATGTATGCTCTGGCTTTCTTCAGGTTGTTGGAATGTCGAATTGAACCCTTTATTTTGCTCGCTGGGGAAGACTGTCCTCAAGATCACATGACACAGTGGATAAAGGCGTTTGTTAGATCCAGTGACAGGACCCAAAGTGTGTGAGATCAATACCTGGTTAAGGCAGTGGAGAACTTGCAGAGGATAACTAACAGGAGATAACTGATAACTGACATCTATTAGACATGGCACGTGGAACTAGAACAGTCTACCCCAGTGAGCGAAATAAAGGGTTCAGTTCGACATTCCAACCACCTAAAGAAGGTCGGAGCATACAACGGCAAACGTTGTGATAAATATGGTTTGGTTTGGTTTATTTTGTTTTACGGCATATCAACATGAATAGGTTATTTAATGCCGACAAAATGTTTTATTGCTGGTAATATTTTGTTTTGTCAAAAATCTGTGTCTTGTAATATTTTTCCTTCAAAATTGTATTGCTGGTAATAATTTTTTTTCAAAAAAGTATTGCTGGTAATAGTTAACTATTTGCCCATAGCTGAGACCCTAACAGGTGCTACCACCCTGGGTCAGGGTGGGCCTGGGAACACCAGCAATTAAGGGGTGGTTCCACGTTCCTCTAAACCTCCTGATCAGAGGCTTTACTGCTCGACGTAGTTTATCGTCTTACCCAGGACGATGATGTAGTTTAACGTCTTACCCAGGACGAGCGATAAATATGGCGACAAAGATGAGGACAATAGTCCGAATAATGTACATAACACCTCATCTCAGAAATATAGGCAGATATCAATATGTGGATCAATGACTGGCATGAATCGTACACCGTTATGTTTTGTCAATGAGTTTAATTTTCACTATGCGTTCTAAATTTACATCCTGGTCCGCTACTCATATTTCTCTTATTTTTACGTACTGTCATGTGTTTTGTACAAGGTGATCTTAATAAATGGGGTGTCGGATTTTTTCTCTAGTAGAAATAAACAGGTGGATTTAATAAAAGGAAGGTTTTGGAAAAAAAAAAATTTAGTGTCAAACAGTGCGAAATTAATAAAGGGGTAGTTTTAATAATTTTCGGGTTTACAATAATTCATTAAAAAAGATAAACGCCCCACGCCCGTCTATTAAGCAACTAAGAAACCCACGTCAAAAATTGATTAACTAATTTTGAAAATCATTCCCTATTGGCTTGATTTTTAATAAATGCTCCTGTAATATTGTGTCATAAGTCTAGCTTAGTATATATCAGATAGGTAAATATTGGAATTATGTTAAGCAAATTGGGCTCACAATCTAATATACTGTTTAGTGAGCGTAGAACGAAATGGCTGTCTAACTCTTGCTATATTTTGAAAAAAAAAAGAAAAGAAGAAAGAAAAACATTACTTTTCTTAAAATTGATATCGTGTGATATTTCCTGTTGCGTAAGGAAGACATTACTATCTGAGATATGTTTCCAAGAAATCTGTCAGATTTAATTAACTCGGAGATAAATTTTTGCCAACAAACATGATTTCCTTGAAGTAGAGGCCAAGTCGAAACGCTTACCGTTTTCTGCGGAAATATAACGACAACCTCTTGTTATGTATAACAGGATCTATTTTATTTCATTTTTTTTAACCCGGATTTCTTCTCGATAGTAACAGTCGGGAAACTGTACTGAATCCGCACCGGAAATAAATAAGACCGAGACATTTTGGATGAAGAGAGTTCTCTCCCTTGCTTCACGGAAAAATCGTAAAATGGAAAACTCGTGAAAGAAACAGAAAGAGTAAAGAAGCGTGGGAAAAAAGAAAAAAAAAAACGAAAACGTGGAGAAATAGAAACAAACAAAAAAAATAAGAGAGAAAGATAACGAAGGAAATGTTTAACTTCCATATCCGGAAACTCGAAAAATATGCTTTCGTCTGATATGATGAGCAATATATGGGAGGAGAATGTAGTATGAAAATTGTTGGTTATGAATCTTGTATTTATTTAAAGATTTTGTGTTTTATTTTTTTTTATTTTTCTTTCCCTTTTTTATGAGGGCGACAGAGGTTTATATATTATTTATGGGTAGGTTAGATAGAGAAGTCACGTCGGCGAAGGAAATATATTCTAGTAAAAATCTAAAAAAGAAAGAAAGAAGAGGACACGAAAAAAATTCGTGTAAGATTAATAAAAGAAAAAATTAGATGAAATAAAATAAATTAAAAAGGCCTCAGGTTCTCATTGTTTATGGATGACTTGACTATTGATTTTGTTCTCTTCAGATAAGATCAAATTCACATCAGTATTTATAATACTTGCGTTTGTTAGACTTTACTAATACTGAAGCTAAACATTTTGAATATCAAACATAGTATATTTAAAAAAAAAAAACACACCTAGGCTTCTTGACTACAAGCGACCAGATCAAATCAGATTCTCTCTATAAATCACAGTAACAACGCCGAGAGACTGATATAGATTCTTACTGTTCCCCGCATAAGTCACCTCAACCAATCATCTGTAGTGGATATTTTCATTGTTCTTTGCACAATCTGTAACAATCTTCTAAAGAAAAACTTCACATATGTACAAGTGCCGTAACGGTTAACGACGCAGAAAGAGATATCGTCGAGAAGCGATCAAATTACCGCATAGTAAGTTCACGTCGCATTAACTAAAACAACGTGATGTAACCCTGTAAAAAGTTCTATTCTAATAGGATTTTTTTCTCTTCGCAATGCCGCTCGTGGAACAATCTTCCGATTTCCTGCTCCCCTGTCACCTACAATTTTCAGGGATTAAAATGCAACGTCAATCGCTATCTATTATCTTACTAAAAACTGTTCCTTTTATTGTCATTTCTCATCACTGTCGTCTTCTTGCTTTCTTTCACTCTCAGTAAACACCTTGCGACTTAGTAGCATTATTGCCTTACATGCGTCGAAATAATTAAAAAAAAGAAATAAAAATAAAATTTGAAAGGCATGAATCAACAACCCTACACGCAAGCTGCTAGTGGCCCGCTGGCGGGCTGTTGATGGCAACGCTAGCGGTCCCTTGGTGCAGACATCGGCGTGCTACCGGCTAGCCACCGGTGGGCCTCTAGCGGTCCGCTATTGGGGACATTGCCGAGACGAACACGCCACCGATCCGACAGCGGGTCACCAGCGGTAAACGCTAGTAGCATACCACCCAGTGGTACATTTATGACTTGTGTGTAGGTAATGTAGACTAAGCTCTTTGGCCTTGAATGAGGCTCGGTCTAACAGAAGGATTATAATGGAAATTCAAAGGGGAACCATTCTACACTCTTTCCACCAAATCAAGAAAATTCACAGATAATAGACAAAACGGAATTTTGGTTTTATGATTGATTCGTTTTCAACGACCCATCAACTATTTGCAGGTTATTTAAAGCCAGAAAATATTTTTAGGATGTAAGAACTTCTTCTTTTAGAGATAATAGTGATTTAGTGATACAGATTTTACTAATTAATCCATAGCTGGATTTAGGATAAGAGGTGGATTTATACCTTTCCCAAGCACGCAAGTGAATATAACGAACCCAACCAGAATTGGAACTCGATTATGCGATTAAAAATTCGGAAATATTATCCATTATACCACACTCACATCGAAGCCTACAGCACGTGGCATTCGCAATCAGTCACCCATCAAAGTTATTACCTAAGCTCGATATTGCTTAACTACGATGATTGTACGGGAACCGGTGTTTCAAATTAATGTAGCCGTAAGCACCGATGTTTTGGAGAGCCATGATCACCTACATGGCATTAAAAATATTTTAGGTGCATTGATTATAGCAGTGAACTTAGAGTTGATATTGTAAATTTATTCTGGTTAGGCGGTGTAGAAGATAGTAAGTTAATGTGTTTGACTCTTTTGTAATCATTATTACCGGTGCCAGACTCCGTTACGCTGAATAAAAATATGAGGTTAATGACAGAGATAAATTATAATTTTCACATTACTCATTAGATAAGGGTAGTGGGAACATTATCCGATTTCCTTTTAAGAAACATTCGTTTTCCCTTGGCCGAACAGCTAATGCTACTGTCGGTTGAAGTTTATGAATATTTAATGCAATTTTTCAAGGAAATAAGTTTCTCATGTGCGCTAACTTATCAGTCTTTTTTTAAAAAAAAATTATTATTTTATCTCAAGCAAAGCTGTAAAGCCACTAAGACGCAATGGTTACTATTGTAACCTAGAAAGGGTTACAGAATGAGAAATAACCCAAAAGGGTTTTGGAAATGTATTGGTAATCTTTATAACATCAACAAAATAAAATACTCGCCAGCGGCGTGAAGTAGGTAAACCACTGCTAGCGGTGAATTACTTAGACAGCATATTACATCCAACTAACAATAGTGTCCAACCTATATATGTGGATTGGAATATACCCATTAGCGTTCATAGGTACGGTACATAAGAGTTACTGAGTGTAAGAGAATGTGAGAAGAAAAGCACTATTACGAAGTACAAACAATAAAAGAAGAGGAATTAAAAAGACAGATCATTCCAGTATTAATAGAGGCATCATTCCTAAACTTTTGTTCGAAGGCAATATCCTCATTATGTCATTATTTGTTTTTTCAAGTCACACGTGATATCCATTTTAGTTGCTGTTGTAGTGAGTTTTCAATTGATGTCGTTTCTGTTATGTCGTACAGTCCAATTTCATTTTTTAATTTTTCTCCTTGCAAAACAAAAATAAAACAACTTTAAGCTTGGAACGAAGCTTTATTATGTGCAATGTAACGACTGCCCACAAGGGAGATAACTACGCTTGCCTTCATCATGGAGTACTGCTGCCATATATGGTCTGTAGCCCCTTCTGTTTGCCTCGGTGTTCTTGATAGGCTCCAGAGGCGGATATGCAACATAATCTGGAATCTCGTCTACAGTAACTGTCTCACAGACGCGCCGTCGCCTCTCTCTGTCTGTTTTAGAAATTGCTCCGAGGAGATGCATTCGCTGGTTCCCAGACTTCATGAGTTCAAGTGCCCTACGAGGCTGGCATCCCGCTCTCACCCCTTCACTGTAGAAACTCCGAAATGTAGCCGTCTCTTCTACTCCAATAGCTTCATGTCTCGCAATTCTCGCCTGTGGAACTCTCTTCCCTATTCCAGTTTCCCTGAGAGCTATAATCTCCAGCTATTCAAATGTAATGTCAATCGACATCTCCAGTTGCCTTGATCTATCCACTACCCTTCTCCTCATCTTTCTTCTATCACTCCTATCTGATCTTGCTCCAAATTTTCTGTAACCCCTTGCGTCCTAGTGGCTTCCCGCCTTGCTTGGGGTGAAACGCTTAAAAAAAACCTGAGGTTAGTAATGAGATCATTAACGTGGATTCAATTACTAATAACACTCTCTACAAAACCTGTAATTTGCGAATATTCATAATGTAAAAGTTTATCCTAAAAGCGAATACACTGGAAATAATGTTGTCCTTCGCCAACAGGGGTTGGAAATAAATTAAATAACGATATATTTGTCCGACTTTCAGTTTCTAATATCTGTTTTATTACAAATTTACAAGAACTTGTTGATATCAGAGCAGGCCATGATAGAGAAAATAAATGGAGAAATAATAGTATAGTTATTTTGTATTCGTTTTTAGTTTCAGATGTGGAAACTGAGATGAGTCGTGAAAGATATACTCAAAAGAGAAATAAAATATTGAATACTTACTAAGTAATGTTGCAGAGATTTTGAAGAAAACAATTCAAAAACAAAAAACGAATATTGGTAAAATCAGAACAAGACAAATGGCTTTCATAATGTCACATAAAGAGATTTGAGAGAATAAATTGAAAAGGTAATAAACATAGAATAGATAACAATAAAACATTTATGAAGCTGGTCTTTTTGAATATTAACAGCAAATAAACATGCAGGAAAAAAATAAAAAATGCAATGTTACAAATTGAACAACACAAGGAAAAAAAGAATGACAATGAAGAATTCGCAGAATGACAAGGCAACGCTACGATGAGCATGGATAAATTACAATCTACCGAGTCGAGTTGAAGATGTTAGTTACAGCAAGGTGAATAATGATCCTATCTTTAAACTGAAAGGCCTACAGGCACCTTCCGTTGAAATACCGGTTCCTATTATTAAACATCATGACGGTCGTCTTCGAGTATAGAATCCAGAGATTAGCAGTGAATATTTCGGAGACAGTAGGAAAGCGTAGTTCAGGTTAGCAGTGGATATCGCAGCAAAGAAGCAGAGCGTAGTACTTCCTCCTGTTTATCTTCGCCTGACAGGTTGGCACTAGTCATTCGGGTAGGTAAACAAAAATGGCCGCCTTTATACACGACGGATAGAATGTTCTGCGTCTTCTGATTGGTTAACCTTCTATTGGTAGACTATAAAGCGAGTCAAGGCATTTGGACTAACTCACTAGTCATATATATACATACATATACACAAAAAACTGTAACACCCATATGATCAACGAAATTAAGAGTCGTCGAATCTGATCGCTACGTATATGGGTGAACGCTTGGGAATTTCAGGTCGTGTAAGTTTGGGTGTGCGGGTGGTGTAATGGATAATGACCCCAAATCTAACAACCGAGTTTCAAATTCCAGTTGTGTTCGTTATATTCACTTACACGAAAATACTCTTGGGAAGGTATATATCCACCTCTTCTCCGCTTATAGGTTAATTAGTATGTAATTAGCTATAGGTTAATTAGTAAGACTCGTGTTATTAATCATTATTATTTAAAAAACATATATATATATTCTTACACAGGGGTTGATAAACCGTAAAAACGAATCAATCAATAAATACAATTTGTACGTAAACAATAAGAAAAAGGGAGATGAACATTCTAATTCAACGACTCAACAAAGACAGTATTGCTCATAAATGACCTCTGTTCGTAATTAAATTGCATTTAGTAGGTATCACTAAATCAATATTTGCTCCAAAAATAACCATTGTTTTTCTAGTTTTAAATAACCTACAATAGGTTGAAAACCCATAGAAAACGCATCAATCCATCAACAATTGAGAGTAAGCATTCACAGATACTAAATAAGAACAAGGACCACTTCATACAGTTGCACTAAACTGTTACATAAGAGTTATCTCCTCACTATTCACGAATTTGTTATTTTATTGAGAAGTATTGTCAGCTGCACAGGCTCATCATGCCGCCTCCCTGGGCAGTCCTTGTCAGATGTTGAAATTCAGAAAAAAATACGTGGATCAGAGTCACACCCAGTCCATAGCAATCGGATGGTAAGCTTGGACGTGCTGAGAAATGTTGATATTCTGTGTACAGATAACATTCCTCCAAATAGAATCTGATATATACAGGAGAAAGGCCTAGCTAAGGGTTTGTCTTTATCACCAGAGATAGCGAACATATACAAGAATACTTTCAGGAACGACACTATTGAACCTAACAATATGAATGAGATATGTAGAGGATACCTTTATACTGGGGTCTGAACAGAAAGCTGTACAACTCTTACTGAACTATTAACTCAATGTAATTCGACCGAGTTCACCTTGGACGTAGAATATTATAATCAGATAACCTTCTAGGATGTACTAATAACTTGCACAGCGAATGGGTTCAAGACATTCAGATATGACAAACAAAACTTTACTGCACAATACCAGTCCTTGGTCTGACGATAAACTACATTTTACAGCGAGACCTCTGTTCGGGTAATTGGACAAGAGGAGCGTGGTACGACTTCTTAATTGCTGTTGTTCCCAGATCTGTTTAGGTCCCAGCTATGGGCAAGTAGTGAAATTCCCAAGCTAAAAAACACTACAAATTATAAATATTTCTATAAAATGAATTACCAACACACACACACACACACACACATATATATATATATATATATATATATATATATATATATATATATATATATATATATAATATTAGTGGTCGATATATATATATATATATATATATATATATATATATATATCCAGGAAGATAGAATCCTGGTAGAACGCACAGGACAGAGTAAGAATATAATATAAAATGCTCAAACACTAATATTCCATGGTTATAATGTATTACATTGGAATCGATATCACGACGATATATATATATATATATATATATATATATATATATATATATATATATATATATATATATGTGTGTGTGTGTGTGTGTGTGCGCGTGTGTGTGTGTCTTATCATATAAAGTCATATAAAGCCATTTATAGTAAAATTAACAACAACATATATTTATAGTAAAATTACCAACAATATATTTTAAAACAAAATGGCCAACAATACATTTTATCTGTAGGTGAAGATATACTATTGCGTTAAAAATATATTTAGTTGACGCCCGAAAATTGTGTTCAAAATATTTAGATTTTGACATTAAATAATCGATTAAGGCTGAAAAAGCCGCTAAACAAAATCAACCAACCAACTGCACAGTACCACTCAACACCATTTTCAACCATCCGTGTGTAAAGAGCTGGGTCGCCCGATGCCTAGAACACCGTACAAATATTAGATGACTCAGATACATACTAAGTGTAAATTATCAACATTGAACGTCCGCTTCAGAATATCAACTACTTTGCAAATATGACATCTTATTTTGCAGGTAGAAAGAAAAGAGGAGGACTAGATAACTGCAACAGTATGTCTTCATTATGTCAATGGCTATTCGGAACAAATTCGATAGGTCTACAGTTCATACAACATCAGGTCAATATTCAGA